GGGTGACTATTCCCTAAATATATAGAAGGAGATTAAAAACAAAAGGCAGGATGATTAAATGTACTATCAGATTTTTGATTGGATCTTGATATGTGAGGAAGTGTCTTCGTTCTCAGGAAACATACACTTATGCATTTAGAGGAAAAGTTTAATGAAATCTGAAACTTTCAGAAAAAAAAAAGAGATGTCAAATGAGGAAAACACTAACATTTGGTGAATCTAGATAAAGAGTATATGGATATTCATTGTACTATTCTTGCAGATTTTATGCTTGAGGGTTTTTTTTAAATTTTTTAAAACTTTATTTATTTACTGTGGTGCTGGGAATCAAACCTAAAGCTAGATAAGCACTCTACCACTGGGTTACTCCCTCAGTCCTGAAGGATTTTTGTTTTGTTTTTTGTTTTGGTATTTCATTTTTTGTTTGGCCAATGCTTAGGCTAGAACCCAGGGTTTTATGCATGCCCAGGCAAGCTCTCTACACTCTCCACAGCCCTAAAGTTCTGCTTTTTTTAAAAAGGTGGAGGAAGAGAAAATTTTCAACCAAAATAATATAAAACCCATGTAAGCACATTGGAAATTATTTACGCATTTATGTGTGAATAGTATTTTCATAATGTACTTTGTTCCTTTTGAAATATCATATGCTCTTTTCTAAATATTATATTAACTCAGTGGCCAGTATTTATATTCTATATTAAAGTAAACAATGAATGCAATCACTTATGGAAATAATGAACTAAAACATTATTTCATATTTTTGAAGGATTAATTTTAAAATGATAATATCTGTACTTTTATTATTTTTATGTTGTTAAAAAAACCCTTCTTTTTTATTTTCTTTTTTTTTAAACAGGAAAAAGAACAGACCCCAAATTTACTACCTGCCTAAAGCATGGGAATTCATTTAATGGTTTGTTCATTTCCATGCTGGGGAGGGAGCCCACGGCCTTGAGCTTGCTGGGCAAGCACTCTACTACTGAGCTACATCCTCAACCTCGTGAGAGTTTTGGACTCCTCATTTTTTATAATCCAGCATTTAGCTACTTACTTGCTGTCACTTGGAAATGTTGAAGGTCTAATATCAAATGTGACTGTCTGGATATTCTATGACATCATGTCCTCCTTGCTCAGAGTATCTCATCTGCAAGCAGATAATAAGATTATAGCAGTTAAAAATAAAAATAAGTTGCCATTAATTTTTCTATTAATTATAAAATTTTGCACTACATGGTACTTATATCAGAAGAAAGATGTGAGAATCTTAACTCTGCCACTCACTATTTCCTATCCCTTCTCTTCAGCCTCAGGTGACCTGGTAAGTATGGGGTATAATTTATGTCTCTCTGGATCTCAGCCTCAGTCACCTGGAAAAGTTGGCTGCAAACTGCTTAGTAGCACTATTTTTTTCTTTTAACAAGTTTACTTACTTTTATTAGTCGTATTATTTAGGGTTTTTTTTTCTTCTTAGTGCCGCTATTGAAGAGTAACTTATAAGCCATAAAATCCAGCCATCTTAAGTGTACATTTTAGCAATTTAGCAAGCTTTAAGGCACTTCATGAGTTGTATAATTGTTACCATAGTACATTACCCAATAAGATTCTGTTTACAGTTAATCCCTGTTCCTACTCCCAGCCCCAGACAGCTGCCAATCTACTTTGTCTGTCTTTAGACTTGCCTTTTCTGGACATTCTCAAACAAATGGAATCATACAGCATGTGGTCTTTGTACCTTGCCTTTTCTACTTAAAACCATGTTTCTGTTCATGCTGTAGCAAGTATCAGTATCTCATTCATTCTTCTTGCTGAGTAGTATTCTATTTGTACTGATATAGCATGTTGTTTGCCCATTTACCAAACTGCTAGAATTTTGAATGGTTTCTAGTTTGGGGCTGTTGTGAATAATGCTTCTATGAATATTCAAGTTCAAGGTTTTGTGTGTTCACATTTTTTTCACATTTCTCAGGTAGATGCCCAGGAAAAGGATTGTTGGATCATATAGGGAATAGCTTTGTAAGAAAATGCCAAACCAGTTTTCAAAACAGCTGTACAAATTTACATTCCTGTCAACCTGTCTGATTTCTTCACATCCCTCTCAACAGTTGCTTTTTCTCTTTGCTTTTTTATTCTAAGTCTTCTAGGGTGTGCAAAATGCTATTTCATTGTCATTTTAACTTGCATCTCACTGATGACTGCTTTTGAGCATTTATTTCATGAGCTTATTATCCATGTGTCTATCTTCTTTGGTGAGATGTCTGTTCAAATCTTTTGTCAACTTTTAAAATTGGGATGTTCGTCATCCTGTTACTGATTTGGAAGAATTCATGGTATATTCTGGATACAGGTTCTTCACCAAATATGCAGTTTCCAAGCATTTTCTCCAAATCGGTAGCTGGTCTTTACATTTTCCCAATAATGTCCTTAGAAGAGCAAACATTTTGAATATTGCTAAAGTGCTGTTTATCAATTTTTGTTTTTATGGGTCATACTCAGTGGTACTTTATGGAAAGAAGAAAAGTCAATTGGAATGTGGATGACAGGGATGCATTAGCCTTTCGTTTGTATTTTGGTATTTGTGACAATTGCTCTACTTTTATGAGTAAATGCTCAGAGGCCTTTGTTGTTCTGGAAACTTTCAGCAAGCAGTGCATAAACAGAAACTATTAGCATTATCCAGCTGGTTTGAATGCCTAGCAGTAGATGAGCTGTCAGCCACTCCTATTTGTGTGGCTCCTTTGACAGTGTGGTGTCTTAATCAGCTAATGGAAATGTCCTTTGAAAAGAATCAAGGGATTCTTTCCATGGCTCTCTAAATGCTATTTGTTAGTATTTACAAAACATGTATAGCTTCAAAATATCATGAAAATAGTGGAAAAGTCTCACTGGGCCCATTTATAGCCTTACTATAATTTTTTTTTCTAGGCATAAGAACTTTTTGATGCGTTCAGAGTCTTTTATGGATAGGTGTTTGGAGTCCTGAGATTAGGCAGATAGACCATAATAAGCATGCATGCAATGCCTGGGTGGTTTCATGGTAAAATATTGTATTAGGCAGCTTATCCTCCAGGCCATCAGAATCTGGGAATAGTGTGATGTAGCAGTAGGAGACTATTGCCACTGAAAATTCAAGTAACATGAATTTTTTCAATTGTGGCTTTTTTTGTTAGGACAAATAGACACATTCAAATATCATCCTCTCTAGCAATTAATCAACAAATGTTTATTGAGTACATATTGTGTGTGGAAATATCAATATATGGATGACATTCCAAATTTATCTCTAATTGACATTCTCCCCTGAGCTCCGGATTTCTATTTCCACACCTATTTATCTTGAAGTTTTAGTGGGCTTGTCAAAACGGAGTTTCTGACCTTCCTCCAAAATTTGTTCTTCCCATGGCCTTCTCCATCTCAGTTAATGTCAACTTTATCCTTCAAGTGCTCCAGGAGAAATTCGTAAATATCCTTGTCCACTGTCCTCCTTTCACACCCCACATCCAATCCATCACAAATCCTAGTGATTCTAAATGTGATGTGAAGGACTGCGTGGGATTCTGAAACAGAAAAGGAACGTTAGGAGGAAAAAAAAAGAAAAAGAAAATGAAGTATTGAGTTTACTTAATAATAATGTATCAACATTGGTTCATTAAGGGGACAATTATACTAGGCCAATATAAGATGCTGAAAATACAAAAAACACACACTACTTTAAAATAAAAAGTTTGTTTTTAAAAGCAAGCAAAGGAACAGATTCTACTGTGCTCTGGCTAATTGGAGCCTGTGGCTAGTTTGCTAGAGCCAAGGAGGATGGGAAGTCTGGTTTTTGTTGTTTTGATGGTCTGGGCAGAGGCTGTGGCTACATATATCTTTCTTCTGGTAGGGAAATTTGTCACATTACATAATTTAATAACACATATAAACATTGGTAACCTCAAATCTGTTTCATCTTTTCACAATAATTTTGTGGAAATAACTTATTATTTACAAATACATGCTTCTACTTAGTAACAGAAACTATTAGCATTATCCAGCTGGTTTGAATGCCAACCAGTAGATGGGAGCATGTTGTTTTTTTTTTTTAATTCCTACAAAATATTAACAGTTTTTTAAAAAAATGATTCTGCTATAATTCTTTAAAACTTCTTAAAATGAAAAAACATCTATTTTTATTTTACATTGATTTATTTTATTTTATTTTACATTGATTTATTTTATTTTACAATTGATCTGAATTAGAAAGGAAAACTTTTTTTTTTTTAAAAAAAGGAAGAGTGCCAGAGGCTGGTGGTCAGCAAAGGCTACAAATAAAAGCTGACAATTGCCTTGTGCCCCAAAGAACTGGATGAATACCTATAACACTAATTCCAGTTACTAGGGAATCAAAGTTTTATGCCACTTAAATAAATCTAGAAGTACATTACAACCTGGCAGGTAGTTCTCACACTAACTCCCTCTTCTTAGTGGGCAGCAGAAAACGGGAGAGTTAGAGTGTCACTTGTCAGGAGAGTTTATGAAAAAGCTTATCCCTGTTCTTCATACCTAGATGCCTGTGTCTTTGGCCTTCCCCTAGAGCATGAACAGTTATGGATATCACAAACACCTTTAAGGACTGAGAACATTAAATGAAACTTGCCATATGTTTTTAGAAGAGCCTATGTTGAAGTTGGGCATGTTCACAGTTACCATAATGAATATGCATGTGGCTGCGTGTTCCCACACCTAGAATCCTGCCAGCTGGGAACAAGCACTTAATCATGAGTCTGAAAGGGGCATATGATCGCCAAGGACAAATCCAGCTTTGTAATTCTGAGAGTATTGCCACACCGAGGAGAGGGAAAGGTGAAGGTGTTATTTCATCCAGTGTTCCCAGTTCCATCCTCTCCTTACCTGACCTCTGAAATGGAGCCATTGGCTTTGAAAAGCCTGGTGTCTAAAATTAATATTCTTCCCCATCTGACTAAGAAGCCAACAGCTGAGCAACATGAGATCAAGGACCATATTAGTTTAAACAGGGGCTCAAAGTGGCATTTGAGAGAGAGGATACTTCCTCTCGTAGTGGACACTTGTCTTTTCAGAAGACTTCCACTGACTGAGAGGAAAGGCTTTTACCAGAGGCTTCTGTGGTCAATCTGAAGTCTAAAAAGCTTCCCTTTGTCTGGTGGAACTTGCATTCTGGGCTTGGAGTGGTTCAAACTCTATGATGTCTTCCTATAAATGGTAATTGTTTCTGTTTATTGTTATCTCTTGAATCTCTTCTATGTTGCTTTAAACAACAAGAGGTACTAAACTGCATATAAAGCTAAATGTGTAATATTTCTTTGTAAAATGACAATATCTGGAACCTAAGCTTTTCCTTTAATGTGTTAATTTTTATATGACTTTCTACTCCAGCTTTAGTACCTTCTGCAATTAAAATTATCTTTTAGTTATAGTTTTGTCTTAGAACAGTCATGCATCAAGTTTTGTAGAGTACTGAATTGAAAATACTTTGGAACTCCAGTTTATTATTTTACTGTATGAGTTGCAAAAATGAAAGACAAAGTTTCACGGGGGAAATTACAGATGCTTTTTAAGTTGACCAAAAAGCTGGAAGAAGCAATTTTCAAATTTCCAGTAGGGGGCCTCCAGAGTTAGCCATGGGAAACCACTACAAATTCAAATCTCTTTATTTCTCTCTCTATATATAATCAGGGGGTGTGTAGATATATACATACAATTATGTGTCTAGAGTGACAGCAGTATTGTAATGTGTGCATTACTTAATTTGTATGGAAAATATTTTTTAAAAAAATCACAAGAACTCTGAACTACTCAGAGAATAACCATTAATGAAGATGCAAAGAAAGGTTGCTGGGTACCTTCTCTACTGGAGTGCTGTATGGAAATTAACTTCTTTTTAAAAGTAAACACCAAACATTTAAAGGTGCAGACAGGGGCAAAAGGGGTGTAACGGGTGTAACTCAGAGGTAGAGCTTTTGTTTAGCATGTGTGGGGCCCTGTGTTGGATCCCCGGCATTGTTAAAAAAAAAAAAAAAGACACAGGCACAGAAAAGCTCTGAAAAAGGATTTATTTGGTGGAAATCTCTCCTGAGAAGGAGAAAAAATTCCAGAGGAAGCAGGAGAAACCCCTTATTTAGTAAGTCCTTCTTCAGGAACATGAGGAGCAAAACCTCTCTCCCAATTAAGTCCAAGATCTTTTATATTCTATATTTAAACTGGCCATTCAATATTATAGGGAAGTTATACATTTACTCTGTTTCCTCTGAAAAGAATACTTTTGATAACATAAATTTGATAATTTTAGTTTATGAAATAAACTGATAAAAGCAGAAAAAAGAACATACAAAATTTATTACATGCCTAGAGCATGCAAAATTGGGACTCAAAGGATGTGACTCATACTTGGAGTTTAAAGGGATAGGGACTTGGGCTTCTGGGGTGAAGGGAAGTGGGTCAGTCTGCTGAAGATTGGAGGGAGACCTGAACAGCAAGCCAGGGTTGTCTTGTGACACAGGTGGAGTCTCTCAGGTAACTTCACCTGTGGTCATCTCCACATGCGCCAGGTGTCAGAGTCTCCATCTCTTCTTTGCTGGGCAGAAAGGCAGAAAGGGGAAGGTATCAGAATTTATTGTCTGGATTTGCTCTTTACTGATACAGATAGCAGTACATTCCTTTTTATAAAAGGAGAGCTTTTCACAGCATTTTTCCATGTTTACAGACATGTGCACTTTTTCCTGAATAACCAACTCGAAATATGCCAAGGAAACATCTGGGTGAGGTATTTTACTGTCCTTAATATGCACCTTATTTCACAAAGTGAGAGCAGTAACATAAACATCCAATCAAACTTGAGATGGCTTCTTACTCTTTGTAGGAAAAAGTAAAAACAAAACAAAACAAAAAATATTTTCCTTTAAAAGTTCCAGTGGTGGAAATTCAATATGAATATTAACATTCTTCTTCCCAATTTTGGATCTTCTCTCTTTAAATAGAAGAGACTTCCAAATTCTCATTGATTAGTTGTTGAGAAAGTCAATATGTGATTAAGTGATGAGAATTTTCTTGGTTTCCTTTTTTTTTTTTTTTTTTTTAACAGTCAAGAGAAGGGAGCACTGAAAAGTCACGATTGTGTCCTGATTTACGAATCGGAGACAGAGGGAGGCGAGAGCCACATGCCAGGCAGTAGCTTAATTGGACTCACCACCAAGATGCTAAAAGTGAAGCGACTGGAAGAAATCAACACATGTTACAGCAGCAACGGGCTGGAGAAAATGGCCTTTTTAAAGTGCATGGAAGAGGTTGAGAAAGTGAAATGCTTTCTGGAAGAAAAAGCCAGTGAAGAGCATCCAAGATGTGGGAAGAATGAGGTAATTATGTGCTGATGTAGTCTTCTAAATATTACCAGTTCTATCTTTTTTCTTTTAATATATCAGGTGGAGCCATTTATTTGACCCTTTTCAAATTCTATTTTGTCACTTATATATAGAATTAAGGAAAGGTTTCATAGGCAATTTCCTGTTTTGTTTCATTGAGAATGCTGTGAAACAATGAAGTTGAGTTTGGTTGACAATCAGGAAGTCTTTGAAGATATATTTTTACCTTGTGGTAATCGGCTTAGCAGCTTTGGGGGCTGGACCGCAACTTGGTGGTAGAGAGAGCACTAAGCATGCCCAGGTCCCTGGGTTCCATCCCCAGCAACCCCCTGCCAAGTATATACATTAATGGAGCCTGTGGAAACACACTTTGAGGAAGAATCCTTTAAAATGATGGATTTGGGCTTGAGATTCAGAGAAGTGCTGTGAGGACCACAATTGTTCTACAGATGAAGGTTTTAATTTCCTGAAGACCTTGAGCTCCCCAAGGGGTAGAGCTATTGATAGTGAAGACCAGAGAAGGGACAAGCAGGACTTGCTGATGGCATGATTGTGGAACCCTGTGTCCTCTGCTGTGCAGAACAAGGGTGCAGAGTGTTCTTTGGTTAGTTACTAAATTCAAACAAGGAGCTGTCCCATCTGAAAAATGAGATGATAGCTTTTGTGAAAATTAAGTGGAATAACTCCTCAGCAAAATACCTGACACTATCACAAGCACTTCTTTGTTTTCCTTTTTGTTTTGTTTTGTTTTAGTGGTGCTGGGAAGCAAACCCAGGGCCTTGAGCATTCTAAGCACACACTCTACCCCTGAGCTACACAGTAAACATTTAATAAATGTTAGCCAGCAACAGCAGTAGCAGCAGCAGAAGCAATTTCCTCCCTTCCCTTATCTTAGTCACTTCCATTCATCATCCCTTGAAGTGCAGCTCTGGTCCATCGTGGGCTTCATTGCATTTTGCCTGTGCTTCTCTTAGCACCCGAAAGGTTTTTGAATGTATTTATCATCTTTCCCAGACAGGGATCCTAAAGGTTGGGACCACATTTTGCATCCTCAGCCACTTATTTACCCAGTTGCAGAGACATAATAGGCACCAAAAATGTTAGAGGAACAAACAGGTCTATTCAAGTGAATTCTGCATTCTGGATGAGGGCCCGGAACCATTGTTGCTAATAATCAGAGCAAGTGATTCTTGTTAGACAGGTTTGGACAACATCCTTCTTTGCTCAGCTATTATTCCAAAAAACACTATTCAGGTGGGAAGGGCATTTTGAACAACAAAACAGTGGATGAAATAGAGATATTGTATATAACAGCCCTAGGAGTTATTTTACTGTGAGTTAAGAACAATAAAATGTGCAGGAAGGAAGAAATGAGTTATAGTAAAACAGATTTCTTTGAGAACTCTATTTTCCCCGTGAGATAATATCTTTTTTTTTTAAATTTTGAAATGGGGTCTTACTATGTTACACAGGCTGGCCCCAATCTCTGGGGTTCAAATGATCCTCCTACCCTAGCCTCTGAGTGTCTGGGACTTCAGGTGTGTGTCACTGTGCCAGTCTAGTTAATATCTTGCTCAATATAGAGCAAGAAGAAATTTCCACAAGCAAAATTTAAGTGATAAATGAAAGTCTTTCTGATCAGGGCTGTTAATTGTACAAATAAATAAGCATGGATTTTTTTCTGTTCATTAATTTCTACAGGACATGAAAGATAAAGTGTATTCGTATAACTTTGCATAACTGAAACCATCAAGTAGCTGCAATAGTTTATATGAGTCTGATTATTTTTCATGTTCAGCTTTTCTCCAAGTTCTGTTATCTAAATTTTACAAATAAGTAACTGTCTTTAAAAAGTAAGAGATACTGGTAAGTTGGACCATAAACCTTTTTAGGAAGATTTACTTTTATGATTAACAATGGTTCTAGAATGTTAGAAATCAGTGATGGGGCAGTTGTATATTTTTTGAGAGATATTTTTGAGAGAAAGATTGAAAACGTTGAATCTGCAGAAACCCTAAAAGAAGTCTTCTCTCCCTTTTGTGGCTCAGGCCTGTTGGCTTCTGTCCTGCAGTTGATACTGTGTGGAAGGTGGGAAGAAGTGACAAGGAATTCTCTATGTCCCATTCAGTTTCTTATTTGTAAATGGAGACAAGCCCAGAGATGTCAGCAGTAAATTTCCCAGTCTCTCTCTCTTGCCATGTGGAAAATGGATGGGTACATGTGTCGGAGGCTCAGAGCTCTTCTCCTTCCTACGGCAGCCAAGCCCCTGTCGGGGTGGTGCAGGGTGGCAAGCCTGGCAGTGGGTGGGAGAAGAAGGCCATTCCAGCATCTCAGATGTCTTCAGGTATGTAGACAGAGCTGGATTAACACGTCTCCATCTTCTGCTCCGCTGCAGTAAATCTTTACCATACCACTCTTTTCTCTCCAGGGACTATTAAAAAAAATGCTTGTCAACTTTCTTCCTTTTTCTCTTTTATCCCTTCTTTCTCTGAAAGGATTAACACTACTAATCATAGTAGAAACATTCAGTGGTTTTGCTGAAAAGAATTTGCCCTGAATTTCAGACACTCTGGTGACATGAAAGCTTTTGTTCTGGAAGCTTAGAGTACATTTACTTTCTAGAATAGACTTTATCTGCAGAACCAACAGTGGAAAAATTATGTATAAATTTAGCAACCTATGTTAAAATAGTTGGATAAAACTTGGATTCATTTCTTTTTCTGCTCTTAACCAGATTTTTCTATTTCATTTATTTTCCCTCTACTGACTTTATTTTTAACTCTCTTCTTTCTCTTCTTCTACTTTTTTGGTTGAATTTATTAAATACTAATATATTCTACTTCTTTCTACCTAAAAAATTCTTTTTGCAATTTTAATTTTGTTCTTTTAATTTTTCTGCTTTCTTTTCCTTCTGTTTTCTAATGACCATTCTTATTCTGTTACTTTTCAAAGGATGTTCAAAGTCACCTAATTTATACATCTAGTGTAGAATTTTAAAAGCATCTACTACTCAGAGAGGGGCATCTAGCTCTCTACCCTAAAGACTTTGTTTCTGTTTTTCTCCTTCCTTTCTGACTTCCATGATGACTCAAAATTAAAAACTTTGAGGATGGTAAAGGCCCCTCCCCAAGAGAGCATGCAGGGATAGATACAGAGTGATGGTCATCCTCCTGGATCACCTGCCCCGAGAATGAAGCCACAGCAGAGCTTCCCTCCCTCACATACTGGTGATTTCCCCCTCTCCCTCCACTCCATGGCATGAGTTCTGCCGTCCTCCAAACCTACGTGCACTCAACATTAAATATCACCACCAGCACCCACAGTCATCACTACTGCATCACCTCCAGGCTGACTCGTAGTCCTGCCTTCCCTCCTTGGAGGGTCTGCACAATTCTCCTTCAAAAGAAGGTCTTGCACATGAGGAAGTTGAATAAGTGGCTAGATTTTTAAAAAAATTTTCAGCCTAACTAACGAAGACTTTTAGCATAAATCAATTCCTAACTAAGGAAGACTTTTAGCACTAATAATAAACCAGATTGAAGCATTCATTGTGTATGTCAACATACAAGTAAAAAAATCAAGTAAAACTAAAAAAGCAATACACCTGACATATGTGAAAGATGAGAATATCCACTGTGTATATACCATTACCTTAAAAATGATATATGGTTCTCATAACTATAATTAGTATTGTTTTTATTCAATCAGATCCAGGGATTTTTAAAAAATTATTCACTTATTTACTTTTGTGCTGGGCATGGAACTCAGGGCTTTAAGCATGCTAAGTATACACTTTAAGCATGCTAAGTACCACTGAGCTATACCCTATCCCCAAGATTTAATTTTGTCAGTTCTCTAGTGCCTATATAAATAGCTCTCAGATTTAATGTAATATTATTTAAGTGTCAAATAATGTTCTTAGACAATCATTCATCTCTGCCTACTTTTCACTACCTTCCCAGGTATACTACATGCATCCTGCTTTCTTTTGTTTTTGTTTGTTTGTTTGTTTTCCTAGGGCTGGGGATGGAACCCAGGGCCTTGTGCTTGCTAAACAAACATTTTGCCACTGAACTTCAACCTCAGTCCATCTACCTGCTTTTTATACCCAAGATGGTCTATGTGGTCTGTGCCCACCTCCTTGTCCTTTGGTTTTCTCGACCTTCCTAGATATCCCTAGTTTCCTGTCCTCCACCCAAAATGCATGGTCCCAAGTACAAAAACTGTGGGATGCCAGAGTGAGGATGGCCCTTCTACAAAAATACATCACCATGGACCATGGCTCCACAACTGTGCTTATAGGACTCTTATTGTTTTATTTGTTCTTTTTAGATATGCATGACAGTAGAGTGTATTTTGACATATTATACACACAGTGAGTATGACCTATTCTAATTAGGATCCTATTATTGTGGTTGTACATGATGTGTTTCACTGGTCATGTATTCACATATGAACATAGGAAAGTTATGTCAGATTCATTCCACTGTCTTTTTGATTCCCATTCCCTTCCCTTCATTCCCCTTTGTCTAATCTACTCTCCTAAGTCAACTTTTAAAAAAATTACCTTAACCCTGATTGATTTGTGCTAAAAGTCTTCCTTAGTTAGGAATAATTCTTCTTTTAAAACCAGGTTTAAATTCTTCCATATCCCAGCTGGGGGTGGAGACAGGGTGAGGGTAGAAAATAAGGACAACCCTAACACAAGCAGACCATGTAATCCCTGGAATGTTTAAAAGGCCTGGTACCAATGCTCCAAAGACCAAACAGAATAAAATATTTATCAACAGGATGTGCAAAAGGATAGAGTGGGTTGAAGCAAAGCATGAATCTCCCTATTTTGATTGCAGATGGTGGGTTTAATACCAGGTGGCATTTCCTGACCAACTGCTATGAAACTGAACCACCAGCAGCATCCAAAGTGGCTGTAACTTAGACCTCGAAATAGCACAACTGAGGGTGGAGGTTTTGTGATTTTCGATGTTGCATCTCTC